CCCGCCTCGGCCTCCCAGAGTGCTAGGATTACAGGTGTGAGCCACTGCACCCGGCCTCCCAATGGCAGTTTTATAGCTGAATAGAGACTGAGTGGCCCTGCAGAGCCTAAAAAATTTATTCTCCCACCCTTTACGTAAAGCTTGCCAACCCCTGTCCTAGAATATGCAGTTTGAAATTGGCTACAGACAGCTCGTATATGAGGTACTGCAAAGTGATTTACAGATGTTGCTTCCTCTATGTTTCAAAACTTCATAGAATAAGTATTATCACCATTTGTTAGATGAGAAAACTAAGGCTGAGAGACAAAACTTTTGCCAAGGTCACAGAAGAATCTGGAATCAAATAGGTCTGCCTGAATCCAAAACTGGTATCTTTTCCACTGTACAACTCCCCCTCCTGAAATCTCTGAGGGGCACTACATTCGGATTTATAACTGGTCTCCTTTGAGTATCCATCCATTGGTCCTAATTTTATCCCATGAGGCCATCTACACGATAACCTTCAATTATCCAGACTGTAATTTTGTCTTGCCTGAGACTTTTATTCTCCGGGCTTCACATTGATTCTTTTAGAAATTTCAGTATGGCAGTTGTAGGTTCCTTTGCCATCCAGATCATTCCAATGAACATACTTGTTTGTGTATAATCCTTTTAAAGTTTGTCACCTTAGCAGACCTTGATACAGGAGTATAGTGCCATCAACAGAGTGCCTTCAGGATGCAAAAACAAACAGAGTGCCTTCCTAGTTCTAGACATTCTGCATCTCTCCTTTATACAGGAAGAGTTGACTTTTTCAACCTAAAGGCAAAAGCTTTTTTAAGAGACAAGGTGTCGCTCTGTTGCCCAGGCTGGAGTGCAGTGGTGTGACCATAGCTCACTGCAACCTCGAGCTCCTGGGCCCAAGGGATCCTTCTGCCTCAGCCTTCTGAGTAGCTGGGACTACAGGTGACTACAGGCACACACCACCATGCTCCACTCCTTTAAATTTTTTATAGAGATGGGGTCTCGCTTTGTTGC